TACTGCAGACTGTTATTCTGGGGACTTTTCTTGTAGTTCCAGTGCTGTGCAAGTCCAGCTCTATCGAAGTGAGCATCCCAAAGGACCTGGTTGGAGGCCTGGACCTTTCCCTCATCAACACTTCCTGCAAAGGAGTATCCAATGGCACTCATGTCAACATCCATTTCTCCTTGAAGTCCTGCGGCACTGTTGTAGATGTATGTATGCCCACTGCTGTCCTGTCTCTTGGGATCTCTCAGATTTGGGGACTTGGCTGTGGCTTACTTGGGGGATAAAGTTGATTTAGTTGTACCATTGGAGCAATTTTTTGTGTTGCCGTGCGGCTGGCCTCAGACTAGACCTGGGTTGGCACCCCGGAGTAGGAGAGCTTGTTCCACCTCCTCTCTAGTGGCATGCGTCTGTCAGCGTGGGTACCGCTTTCTGCTCACCCAGTGCTTCACAGTGACAGCTTCACCATCATTCCGGTGCAGAAAGTGCAAGCAGTGTCACTCTTCACCCTCCTGTTGAGACAGAATCTGGTCCCCTGATAATGTTTCCAAGGTTATACTGGCAACTGGTCAGGAACCAGTGAGCTTGTTTTAGCAGATGGGCAGCACTCGGAAGCAAATTCCTCTGCTTCGTGCAGGAGTACAGTGCATCAAAGTTGACAGCAAACTGATAGAGGCCCTTAGGTCACAGTTAAGGATGAACATCCTTCCAGTTGCAGCATGTAAATTAACAAGCTGTACTTTCAGCAGCTAATTTATGTCTGAGTTTCCTGAACAAGGTAAACTCAGCTGCTAGTCTGAACTCAGAGAGGTCTTTCTCAGTGCTACCCCCTTTCCCTTAAACTCTTTTCTTTGCTGCAGGTAATAAATGATAAAATCATTGCCACCAATCTGGTGACCGGCTTGCCAAAGCAGACTCCAGGAAGCAATGGAGACATCATTGTCCGCACCAGCAAGCTGCTGATCCCAGTGACCTGTGAGTTCCCACGCCGGTACACCATCTCCGAAGGTTATGTGCCCAACCTCAAGAACTCACCCTTGGAAATCATGAGCCGCAACCAGGGCATCTTTCCCTTCACCCTTGAGATCTTCAAAGACAAAGACTTTGATGAACCCTACAGGGGTGCTCTTCCCACCCTCAAGCTTCGGGACTCTCTGTATTTCGGGATCGAACCCTTGGTACATGTCAATGGACTAGAGACACTGGTAGAGAGCTGCTTTGCCACTCCCACTGCAAAAATCGATGAGATCCTGAAGTACTACCTGATTCAAGATGGGTGAGTTCACTGTTACCTCCGTTGCTGGCTGGTAGATGGGAATTGGCGATGAGGTTAAGCTGCATTGCCTGTGTGATGCAGGAAACACTATCACTTCTCCACAGCTTATCTGGTGTGCTCCTAGGGATCGTTAACGGCCAGGCCGTCAAGCTGAAATCACCTCTCCCATCAGAAGTGATGGGGAGTAACAGTGGGAGGCAGTGAAAGAGGTTACTCCAAGTGCAGCCTTTACAGGGCATAGTTCCCTGTAACTAGCCTTGTGGATAATTGAGTTGGCTCCAGTAGAAAAAGATATCCTTCCTGATATCCTCTCTGTGCCAGCCTGCAGAGTGCCAAACCAATCAGCCCAACCCCCCAGACACAGCAACTGGAGCAAGTTTCTTAGGTTTCTCATAATGGCCTTACAGCATGAGCCAGAAGACTACATGGCTGGTCCTGGTTGGAGCTCCAGGAGCTCCCCTTGTTTTGCTCTCTCTCTGGTGCCTGTCAATGCAGTGAGCTTAGCATCCCTCAGTTTGGCTGTAATTTTCCAAGGTGTTTGGGCTTAGTGATCTTTCCAGGACACGCTAGTAACAAAGTCAGGGCAGCTCTGTGGGGTCATGGGTTTTGTGTCGGAGGTTTGGGGAGCATTGCTGTGGGCTCTGCTGTGGCTCCTAAGATGACCCCCGTTTGCAGACACTTGTATGGGTGCTAACATAACAGTGCCGTGGCGCAGGCATTGCTGTGGGGCGTTTGCATCCAGCAGTGCCTGGCAGCTCAGCTGGACAACGCTGTGGAAATGTCACGGTTGGGAACCAGTCTGCTATCCTCTAGGGAGGCAAGTCCAGCCAAAGTAATATCAGAGACATACCCAAGTGTCGTATCCTGACAGTCAAGGGACTGTGCTCATAGAAGTCCTGTGTTCTGTCTGCCAAACCATCTAATGAGGACAACAATTATTTCCTCAGCTGCCAGGCTAAATCATCCACCATTACAGCTGGTGGTGACAAGTCCTATGTGATTGTCTTGTAGCAAAAGGGTCCTGCAGAGTACAGTACACAAACCCACTGCTTTCATTTCCTTCTGACAGAGGTTTCAGCATTAGCTTGCTCTCCCTTCATCCTAGGCTGCAGTTCTTCTGTGCCTGACATTTCTGGGGTTTACAAGCAGATTTGTAATGGAAGGATTGATTTATCGACTCCCTGGCTTGGCTGTTCCTGTGAACCCTTCACAGAGTCGAGGCTCCAAACATTCATTCATTTCCCACCATGAGTGAAAATGATGGGATTCAAAACAGTGGCCAAAACCTGAGCCGCATAGAGAAGGGAGAAGGCAGAAAATGTCATCTCGTGAATTCACCGCAGCGCTAGTTGGAGGATTTATGGCACCAGCAGCCCCTTTGGTACTGTTATCCTGCAGAGGGCATTAAAACTTCACCAAAAGGAACAGCGGGCTGGAGCCTCATCCTGCTTGCTCGGCTCTCCAGCCGTCACTGCAGGCCCCAGTGTCCCCAGATGTGCCAGCCCATGCGCTGTGCTGTATTTAAATTGGGCTGCTCGTTTAGACCGAAGGCTAATGATTTGCTGTTGAGCTAACTGGAGTTCTTTGTCTCTCTCTGTGCTCACAGCAATTAAAAAGTAAAATTAGCTGAATACACTGCTGATTTGTCCCTGCTCCAAACAGTTCTGTAATAACCCAGTTTCCTTCTGTTAACCCAGCCCCAAAAGCCCAAGGCAATAAGGATGGGATTTTTAAATCAGTTTGATTGCATAGGATCAGACCTGCAGGAGTTAACTGCAGCTTCCAGAGGGGAGACCCTGCTTAAATTTCAGGGAGCGTACCTTAGACTGAGGGGTGGGAAAATTCCCTCTCCTGCTTTCTTCCCTGCTAATTCCCTGCCGTCTCCATTTGGCAAGAGGTGGGAGCCGCCTTCTGTGGGACACCTCAACCCCTTCCCTATGCTGATGGAAATCAGGATTTTCCCAGATCCCTCTCCGCAGTCTCTCTAATATCCTATACTGCTGCTAGCCCAGCCGGCCAGCCCCAAAGCAGCTCTCCCACTTCTGGTCTTGTTCTTCCTCTTTCTCAGAACAAAAATAAACCAAAGGCATTGACCAGTTGCCTGGGCGATAAACACTGCCGCTCTCTGGGACGTCTGGAGCAAGGTCACCTCACTGAGGGCAATCCCTTGTAATCTGATGTGGTCAGGAGCTGCGATTTATCCGAGCATGACATGGTTAAGGTAGTTCCATTCCAAGGTTCATCTTGTTAACACCTCGGGCTGCCCCTTTTTTGTAAGCTGAGGTGGTTATTTTATTCTCCAAGCCCTCCTTTCTACCTTGCCAACCCCCCAGTAAGAGGGTCCGAGCACAGCTTTCATGGCACATTCACTCTCTGCTCCCCTAACCTGAGCACATCGTGCACGGAAGAGGGTTATTGTCCCCGCTTCCTCACCAGGGTCACTCATTTTCCCTCCGTACCTGTGCTCCCTGCCCCTTCTCACCTCCCCATGGCGGGAAGCAGGGGCTGGGGGTTTCCTAGGAGGGTGGGACCCCAAGGTATGGCCCCATGCACAATGCGAAAGGGCTTGGCCCTTTGACTCGGCAGGTTTCTGAGCTCTTTTTGTCATGCTGCGATGTGTTTGTTGGAACTCACTGTAAAACATACTTAGGGGCATGGTAGGGGCTCCATGTATCCCTAGTTCTTCCTTGTTCTTCCATTTTCTTTCTCCCTACCCCCCAAACAAGTAAGCTTCTTGCCACTGGTGTGGTGAACCTTTGGAGAACCCGGCATTTAGGGGTCAGTTTGAGCCAGTCTCCAAGAAGCATCACAGTTTATATGCTCACAAATAAGGACATGCCTATGAGTTGACTTCATGACCCCAAAGCTTGGCCAGTCACTTATGGAAAGTTTTAACTGTCATTCTTTACAATCGAATGCCTTCAGGAATGCTACTTTTAAAAGCAATTTTATCCTAAACAACTTGGTAACACCTAGCGTTTGGCCTCAGGGGGGAGGAATCGATGTCAATTTTTCTTGATGCAGGGTGTTAATTTATTAGCTCCCCTTGGATGACTTTCTACGTTTGCCTCCTAGGCAAGTTAACTAGACAAGCGCTGCAGACAGGGATATCTCTGCAGACAGGGATATCCCTTCAGACCGTGACCTCCACGGGCTGTGAGAAAAGCTATGGAAATACACGATGGTGAAAATAACGCTAGGATCAGACCAACGCTTAGCGCTCCCCTGAACATACGCTGCTCTACTGCACGTAGCAGAAGGGCGATGCTGGGAGGGATTGCAGTAGGCTGCCGCCCACGGAGCCGCGTCAGCCGAACAGCGTGGAGATTTCCAAATAACGTGTTCTGGTGAACGCAAAGCTACATATAGATGTGGGGTTTGCTGCTGTTTGATAATTGAACGTATCAAATGTCAGCATTTCTGACAATGCCTTACGTATTCCTGGTGTAAAGGTGGAAGCTAAAGGTTGCTGCGAGAGGAGGATTTTCAGCTGTCACACCACTACCTCTCCTCTCTTCCACCACCATTTTTTTTTTTTAACATCCTGCAAAGTCCACATTTCTGGAATTAACTTTTTAGAAAGCACAAGCTGCGTTGTAATGCAACATAAAAGCAGCATCTGGGCCTCTCAGAACGCCTAAGGCTTTTGCAATAGACAGCAGTAAATACCAGGTCACTGTAACTCTTTTTATCTTGCTGTTTCTCTGCCAAACTCTAAATAGGGTATAAGAGTTTATAGCACCTGAAATGTAATTTTTTATAAAAGTGGATTATTTTCTTGCTGTTCTGTGATCGCTCGCCTGACTGCATAGTGCTAGTGATGGAGACCTTGAAATTAGGAGTTTTAGCTGAGGTGAATTTGAGCTGTCCAATTGAGTCCAGAAGGAAGAAAAATGTAAATGACAAAAGCGAAGTAGATCTTGATTTTTTTTTTTTTTTTAAAAAAATCTGTGATATTTTAGTAACATGGGTAACAGCTTATTCATTTTCAGTGTGATCTATGTGCATATAGATGTGTGTACAGAAAGTCCATGATACGTTACATACTGTATCACGGTTCTGTTGATCACTGCAGACTGTTGCATAGGAAGGTGAAACGAGGACAAACTTGCCTGCAGCTCTCTGGCAGTACCTCTGCCGATGGGACTGGACCACGTCCTGCCAGCGCTCTGCTGCTGAGCTGTTTGGTGTCTGGAGATGCTATTATCATCGCTGGTGCTTTTCCCCATCATTCCCGAATTTTCTCCTGTGGCCAAAGAGGAAGTAACATGGATGATAGCTTAGCTTGAGACAGCCAAGCCCTCCTTTCCTTTCTCTGGTTATGTAGGCTGGGATGTTTTTTCTATTTCTTTTTCCATTCCTGGGAAACCCATTAAAGCCTATCCCTCTGCTTTTCTCAGCTGTGTTTCTGATGATTCGGTGAAACAGTACACGTCAAAGGACCATCTTGCCAAGCATTTCCAGGTTCCTGTGTTCAAGTTTGTGGGCAAAGACAACAAGGTAAGCTCAAACCCCACCTCTCAGATATTGCATCAGCCCCGATCTGTATTAGACTGTGAAAGGGAGGAATAGCTTGCCCAAGGCAGATCCAGCAGTTGTGTCTTTCAGGAGCCTGACACTTTAAGAGAGAGTGATAAAACCAACTAAAAGTAAATAAAATATGAAGGACAGTTGTGGACCATCAATCCTATAGCAGGTTAAAATCATTGTTGTTTCCAGGGTAGTCTCTCAGTGGATCCTTGTGTGCTGGGCAAGAAAAGTGTTCCCGGTCACCAAATGGAAACGTGGGGAGTTAGGCACATTGCGCAGTGTCCTCTCTTTAAAATAAGGCAGTCTATAGTTTTGAATCTCTTCCACCTTACATCTTCTCTAGCTCTTGTGAGTGCAGATACCAGGTTTCCAGACACAAGGCCACCATACCGTTTAATTCAATTAAATTCAGGCTGTCCAGGCTGGTGGCACTCTGGGGCAGAAGCTTTGTAGCAGGAGGACAGTTGAAGGATAATGCCATTTTCCTAATGCAAATAGATTTTCTGTGCTAGAAGAAATCAGGCCTTTCAGTCACTGTTGTTATGCTCAGCCAATGCTGCTTGCTCCAAAAGGCATAAAACTGCCGCTCCAGCTCCTGGAGAGCCTCAGTAGGGATAAAATGGATGAGATCTTTCAAAAATTAGAGATTTTGCTTGGCTGTCTGATTGCCACTGCTGCCTCCAACCTGCAGCCTCCTGGCTTGTGCAATGGATTTTGCTTCAAACCTCACCATTGAGCAAACATGCACAAATATTTGCTTCCCTAATTGCTGCTTGCAGGGATCTTGCTTACTCTCCTTGTCGTTTCGAGGGCAGGGAGCAGCAATCCCATCACTGTCTGCCTTTACTGTACAGAAAGAAAAGGCAGCTGTCTCCCTGCTCTTCTCCTTCTCCCCTCAACTACCAGTCTTAAGTCCTCATCACCCTGCATTTTCCCCCTTTGTCCCTCAGTCTCCTAACTTTGTTTTCTCAGCTCATGTCAAATTCTCTTGCACGTTTCTATCAGCCCATCTCCTTGCAAGGCTTCGTGTGGTTTTGGCCCGCTTCCTGCCATGTAGCTCCTACCAGTCCATGTGAGCTCTGCCAAGCTTATTCCTGGCATTTTCCTCCCTTCCTCTGGAGGGCCATTTCACGCCTTCGTATTCCCTGTCTAGCCCTTGGCTAACAGATGCCATGCTCTGAGATCTCAGCCGGGCACTCTGGAAAACGTGCCCTTTCCTGGGAATATAAGAAAACAGATGGAGCAGCCAGTTTGGCTGTGGATGGCAATGATGGATAAGGACCTTGTTGATGTGGGGACGGAAATGGCTGTACAGCGGGAATCATGTGGCTCATGCTCTCTGAGAGCTGGCAGTGCTGCCGGCCTGATTCCCAGAGGTGTGCGTTGACTTGGCCTGCTGTCTCGCCACCCTCCAGGAGGTCTTCTTGCATTGCCGCATCCTCGTGTGCGGGGCGCTGGATGAGAGCTCCCGCTGCGCCCAGGGCTGCCGGAGACGGGTGCGCAGGTTGGCCGCGACGGAGGAGGAGAAGGAGGAGGAATCTGGTCACGTGGCAAACCACATCCTGACAGGTGGCCCCATCAGAATCGACTTTGACGACTAACAGCCACCCGCTGGAACAGCATCTCTGCCTGAGACCAACCTTCCCATCAATGCCTTCTTTCACGGTTGTGCGAGAAACGAGAGGTATTTGGTAAAGCCCCACTAGAACCTCGGGACTGGTTTCCCTAACTGCGCGATGATTATTTGTGAAGTATGTTGGGCACACGAGGCAGCCCTCTGAGTGCAACCCGGACTGCAGAACAGTTTGGTTTTTACCTGTGTTTCTTCCCAACAGCCCTTCGGTTGAAGGGACCCTGTTGCTTCGCAGACCTGAAGCGTTACCCGACTTTGTCTTT